CTTTAACTTTTCACATTTCCAACATTTTAAAATAAGGAGAAATAAATGTGTTTGTGAATTACTTTAAATAAGTTTATAGTTGAAATAATTCTTGTAGTTGACAGAGATGGTGGCTGCTCTTAAAGACTTTGTGACAGAGAGACAGAGGGATGCCAATCGTGTTCTGACACCTGTAATTCAGGTAAGCTGTTTTATGAAGAGTGTTATGGAAAATACTCTCAAGGTTACTGGAGTAATTTAAGGGTCTGAAAAATACTCAGATATGACTGAATAGACTCCAACAGGAAAAAATAGGAAAGAATGAACAGAAAACTGATCTTTCTAGATGGCTATGAACATTATTTATATATAAATATTAGATGAATTTATATCTATATCCTTTGTTATACATGTATATTCATGGTAAAGAATTTTACATTAATACATGTATAAATTTAAATAAATTGCTGTTCCAGGAGAACATGGCTCCAACCTACGAGGCTTGTGCTGCAGAGAGTGGACCGGGAACCTACCAGAGAATGAAGGACGGCATGGCCGCTGGAATCGACATAGGGAGGTACTATATGTTTGATGATGCCTCGCGCAACCTACTGCAGGAGTTGGAGCAAATCAAGGTAGGTGGATTCCTGACATAGCTTTGATAAGATTCACCCGTACAAATACTGACTGTGTTAAATTTGGATTGAATGTTTCCATTGTGTTTTGATTATATAAGAAGAATGGTGAAGTGCATGTAATGTATAGATTCAAATAACATCTGGTTTTAAAACCAACTGCCTTTTAAAACAGGTAAAATAAATCATTTTAATAAGAGGCTTTAAATTAGTAAAATACAAGTACAGTTATAAATTGTACATGAATATTTGCCATGGCAATAAGCAGGATACTTGTGTATTTATGAAGTAAATTAACTTAAGATGAAAACCTCTTATTCAGGTTCAGGTAACGGAGATAGTACGGGGAGTGTGTCGTAGTCTTTGCTCGACTCTACAGGTGGCTTTTGAGCCCCTTTGGGAGGCCCCTGGGACCTGCCTGGAACTGAGAGACGTACTCGTACCATGTAAGGAAATAAATAACATCAAAATATTCCAGCACAGCTGATACCTTCCATCGCAAGAAATGATAAAGTGTTCTCTTTCAACCAAAACACACACATTTCTAGTTACATGTTCCTGTATGTTGTTGTAGGTGTTCGGGAGATTTCACTCCAGGTGCGCGCCATAATGGAGGAGGCCGGAGTGAGGGTACCTATAACTACTACAGGGCCACCTCCTGTCACAACCACTAATGGGACTCCTGTCCAATCAGAAGTCACTAATGCACAAGGAAATCAGGTTTGTCTTCCAAAATTAATGTATTAAATTTCATATCCTGTTTGAGATCTCGATCATTACAAATCTGTCAAACATTGTGAGGAAGTCAAGATTTCATTCATGATAAGGATGTATTTTGCTGATCAGGTGTCAGCCATTTTTATGAAACATTTCTAGCGTATATCTCATCAACATATTTATTTATTCATCTTGTTATTCAAAGATTCCTTTGATTTATTTGACAAAAAGCAAAGCTTCCATAACATTCTTTGAAAGATTAATTTGGTTCTGTATATCCCTAGGATATACAGAGAACAGCTGGTAACTCGTTAGAATTGCCATCGAGTTTTGTTCTTGAGGAACTTCAAGCCGGATCATCCGATTCAGAACTTCTCACCTCCATCAAAGTGGAACCATCACTAAGTGTGCCCAAAATCAAGAAAGAAATGACAGGTAATGACATTACTCAGTGTAGAGAAGGTAGATTCGTGTTTAGTAATCACTAACAGAAGGTCTGAACCCCTTATCTTTAAAGGCAACACAAGGTTCATTTTTCATTAAAGTTGCTTGCATTGTCCAGTTCTGGATGAAAAATTATATTTCTTGTTACTCTTGAAAAAATAATTTTCCATAGAAAGTTTAAAAACTTTGGAGAAATATTAATGTACATGTATTAAGTAAGTATAAGAAGGTGTAATTGTCAAGTAAAATGAAAAATAAATTAGAGAGAATGCATGTGCAGTGACTTGGTAAACAAATTTCACAATAGAATTCACACAACACACGGTAGTCCTAAATCTCTGTCTCTGGGTGTTTAAATAAAGGCTAAACATGTCCAAAAGCACCAAATTACTGATTATACCGTTTTTCTTTTCAGTCTCTACCCAGAATGCCACACCTGTCCGATTCTCCTCTATAAAATCTGAACCCTCGTCTGGAATACAGGTTTGTTGTTTTTGTGGACACCCCGGGACTAACCCTGGTGAATGTGATAAGTGTCGTGTCCCCCGACGCTCCCCCCAAGGTGTCCTGTTCAGGTGTTGTCGGTTTTGTCATCGGATGGGAGAGAACGTTCACATCTGTGAATTCTGTAAGCGGTGTCGTCGCTGTTTGAATGTCGTCACATCTCCCAAGCAGCAGTGTGAGATCTGCCAAGGTAACAGTCTTATGTCAGATGTCAAATGATTTAAGTAAGCACAAATTATATTTTGTCAGTTTGTTCAAAAATGGTGTTCAGGTATAAATTTTGAGCCTGTAAGTTATCACAAAAAACTTGTGAAATTACTTTTAATTTAGTTCTTCTAAAACACACCAAAATCAAAAAAAAGGAAAAACATTCTTATTTCAATTATCTTTGGAAAGAAAAATATGAATTAAGACATGTGTTTGCCCTATTCTTTACGAGATTTATAATAAGTGATCCCATGTTTTTTTAATTATTAAAGCTCCAAGATCAAGGAATCCAGGATCAACTGGCAAAATTTCCACAAATCATCAACATGTGTCCCAAACCATCACCTCTGCTAATGTTCAAACAAATAAACCGTCCACTCCAGCAGGTGCAGATCGTAACAATGTGTCCTCCACACACCCACCAAATGTAGTTCACCCACCAAATGTTGTTCAGCACAATTCCTTCCCAACTAGCTCATCTTACCTAGTGATGTCTTCCATACTTCCACCCAATGTTGGTCAAACCTCCAGTAGAGCTCGCCACCCATCGACACAAACCATCAGTGGCAGAGGTCAAGGTTACCATGCAGTGCTTACAAACAGTGGCAGGGGTCAGGGTGACCATGCAGTGCTTAATACATTAAAGAGACTAGCTGATAAAGTGAGGTCACCCAAACATCAGCTGTCTGCTTCCCAGCCTGTCCAGCAGGGCAGAAACATGACCCCTCGTTCTCAGGGACCAATGGTGTCACAGACAGGTAGTCTTACTCCACGGTCGAGGAATGATGGACGAGTTAGTACGCCGTATAGCAGACTCAGCAGCAGCCAACCATCTCATCAGAAAGATCAGGAACATGCCCTCAAAACACCCTCCAGAGTGCCAAAAAATTGTAAGTACCGTATAATCCCTATTAACCGCCCCGGGCGCTTAGAAAATTGCAAAAAGGGGGCGGTTATTTTGGTATTCTCTTTGTAATATTTATTAACATATCTTAACTTCAAAAAATATTTTGAAAAAAAAAATAAATTCAAAGAATCTCCAAAATAATGTCTAACTTTACTTTAAATGAAGATAATCCACCCATAGTATGCTAAATGAATCATTTTCCACCAAAAAATTTGATAATAAACAAGTTTCATTTTCAATTCCTTCAAATTTTTTGCAGACTTTTGATACGATTCTAGTCTTTCTAGATGATTTTAATCACTGTACAGGGGGCCCTTATTTCCTGACAATTGAAAAAGACTTAAGGGGGCGTTTATAGGGGTAGGGGCGGTTAATAGGGATTATACGGTAATCGGTAATTATAATATGAAGAAAATAAGCTATTTTTATATGTATATTTATTTTTACTCTAAAGGAAAGAATAACCACTAAAAATTATTTATATTAGTTTTTCCCATTTAATCTCAATATAGTGAAACACAATTATTTTTTAATGTATTATAAAGTGACAATTTGTAAAAGTGGTGTTTTGAAGGAAACATTGCCTAATTTAAACTCTACATATTTTTTATTTGATTCAGTAGGATTTAAGGACATGAGGAACAATCCTTAAGGGGAGAAAGAATGGATTTATGTAGCTGAAGGAGAAAATGGATGTCGTATAGATTGTAATGGATGCCACAGATGTAGTGGAATTGGTTGTAGTGCTTCAGGCAGTGCTTTTATACAGATGCATTTTTATATCTTTTTTCAGTCATAGTAAAAAAAATTATGCCCTGCTACAAACTCTTTGAGCTATATTGCTGATTAAATTTGAATAATCTGGTGCTTTTATATTGTAAATACTGCTTAATTTTGATGTTTTTTTCTTCACCTTTTAAATGTGTCGCAATAAACTTCATTTTGTTAAATTCAGAGAATCAATTATTAGAGGTCTGTAAATTAAATACCTGGAAGTGGTTGATATTTGACTTTTTTATGGTTTATATTTTTCAATTTTACTTTTAGTAAATGGCAACTGTATTAAGTTAGATCAATGTTAATGATCTGGTCATATTTTTACCATCCAGAGTGTTCTAACAAGACTATTGTAAAGAATGGCAATTTAGTTTATAGGAGTTGAATTGAGTTAATTAGGATTTACTTTGGAGAAATGAACTAATTTCTTGCATTTATAAATTAAGTTTACCTGTTTGCAATCTATTTTTATATTTTATTGTGCATATTTCCATAAACTTTTCAATATTTTAAACTCTGACACATCAAATACAATCTTGTAAAATTTGGTATATGGTATTTATGGACAGAGCATTAAGAGAAATTTGTGAAGGGAAATGAGTTTGATGAAGCAATTTTTTTCAGAAATATAATTTTTTTTCATCATGTTTATAAAGAACGAGTTCAGACTCCTTTTCTAAAAAAAATTTAATAGATTTTACATTTATTTTCGTATCATTTCAAGAATGGAGTCTAACTCAATAATATTCAATTTTTTTAAAGCACCAATATACCCATTTTCAACTAGATATGTTAAACTGTCACCCAAGAAAACTGATTAGCAATTAATAAGTTGAATAAAATTAATAAATGAATTGGGTTAAAAATGACATTGCTGACAATATTGGTTCAAAAAATATATTTCTGCAAACAAAATGTCTCAGAGAAGGGTAATATCCTCACCTTGTTTGCCCTTGTTCTTTAATTCAGTGTCAAAATATTCTGATTGGAACATATTTGCCCTGTTCCCAAGGTTGCATTTCATGAATTAAGGTGAAATTAGACTGTATCAGTCATGTTGATTGTGCTTTTTCTGTTGGTGTAGAATGGTTTATTGTACTTTTAGTAGTAAGTACATAACGTAATATCCAAAGTATAACTACTGGGATCCTAGGTGTTATACATGCAAGTCAAAATCTTACATGAGTGTGTCAATTGAAATCGATCTGTTTTATGTTTTAATGTTTTATTCTGAACAAATGGCTTATTTATGAAAATATTTCATGCAGCTGCCCTCTATGAAAAAAAGGCTAAAATTGTTCAATTGAAAAACCAGATTTATTTAACAGACTACTTAAATTGGATGAGCTAATTTAAACATTTTCCGAAAGACAATGCTAAAACTTGCGTGAAAATTACCTTGGGTAATATTCATAAAATGTGAGTTCAGTACCAGTAACAAGGTCTCCTTTTTGAAATCTAAACATCAAGAAGTAAAACTTTTAATTGTAAATTATTCATGAAGCAGGATGTTTCATTTATTCTGTAGAGAAGTTTAGATCGGGTGAACTTTGTAGCCCATAGCTCTTGATGATATGTGAATGTAGTCTCTATTTCCTCAAACAGTTAGAAGGTTGTAATTTTATTGGACATGTTACTGTTATGTACATATTTTCTAGCTAGTTTCTGTTTTTCATTCAATATGGATGGTGCTTTCATTTGATTGTGTTCTGTTAATGCAAGTGTAAGAGTCAATCTGTTCAGTGTTATAAAAATCAAAAGATTGATATTGCTCCATGTAATCATTCACTTTAACTAATAGTTGTAGGAAATCACTATGCTTTTTCAAGACTTGTTCATATGTTTTATATATTTTATGGTGCTATTAACCCAGATGATTAAAACATGTTTACTAATTTTTGTTCATTATGAAAAAGGGCATTTTAAATACTATATATCAAGTACTCTCCATGGAGAGGTCAAAGGTGAAGGAGAGTGCTTATTGTCTATATGTAGTACTCTCTGTGGAGAGGTCAAAGGTGAAGGAGAGTGCTTATTGTCAATATGTAGTAATCTCTGTGGAGAGGTCGAAGGTGAAGGAGAGTGCTTATTGTCAATATGTCAAGTACTCTCCATGGAAAGGTGAGAGAGAGTGCTTATTGACAATATGTCAAGTACTCTCCATGGAGAGGTCAAAGGTGAAGGTAGCTGCAGATCTGTAGCTCTCCGAAAAAATATCGATAGACCGGAGAGCTACAGTGCCACCCATTGAAAAAACTGTATATTTATTGCGCACAAAAAAGTGCGCTCGATTCTTGATTAATTTTTCCAAATTCTTACCTAAATTGCAAATAAAGGAAGATTTCAAAAAATTACTCTCTCCTCTATCAAGTTCTCTCGTAGTTGACATCTGAACGAAGCATATTGGACAGAATTATCTTTGAAACCAAAATGGCAGTTAAAAAAAGCGAAATGTCGGATGATTGCAATATCAGTGCCAGGAGGACTATTAACAACAATTATGAGGAATGTTTTGTTGTGGAAAGAGTCAAAGAATATGTTAGGAACACACGGTTAGTAATATTTTGAGATTACATCTTTAAAAACATGGAGAAATAAATCGAAAACCGAACGCATTTTTTTATGCGCAATAAATACATGTATACAGTTTTTTCAATGGGTGGTTCTGTAGCTCTCCGGTCTATCAATAATTTTTTTTCGGAGAGCTGTAGATCTGCAGCTAAGGTGAAGGAGAGTGTTTATTGTCAATGTGTCAAGTACTTTCCATGGAAAGGTGAAAGAGAATGCTTATTGACAATATGTCAAGTACTCTCCATGTAGAGGTCAAAGGTGATGGAGAGTGCTTATTAACAATATGTTGTACTCTCCATGGAGATGTCAAAGGTGAAGGAGAGTGCTTAATGTCAATTAGTCTCCATGGAAAGATCGAAGAAGAAGGAGTGTGCTTTTGTAAATATTTCAAGTAATCTCCAAGAAGAGGTCAAAGGTGAAAGAGAGTGCTTATTGTTAATTTACGAGTGCTCTCAATGGAGAAGTGAAAGAGTGAAACATATGGAAATAGCGAACAGTATTCAAGATCAAAAATCTTTAAACTAATGCAAAACAGGAGCAGAGTAAACACGGACCTCCAAAACATTAGAGGTGCCGTGTGGGATTAGGTGCCATGGAGGAGTGAGCATCCCATGCCGACTGGTCACACCCGCCGTGTGCTCCTTGTCATGATCAGGAAATAACGGAAAAATCCGTCTTCAATTCAGTGTATAAATAATGGACTAACAATTAGTATGAAAAACGTCAGTCAGCATTTGACACCATGATAAATTGTATTTGCTGACAAAGTCATTGTATCGACTATAGAACTTGCGAAATGATGAATTTAAACGAGACTGTCGATATTCGTAGAGCATGCTCTTGCCTATCGAATCAACTGAGATATATAAACTCCGTATGCAAATGATGAAGGTATATTGCTGCTTAAGTAAGTGAAGTTGACGATAGAAAAGTCATCGCATGACCATTTAAATTAATGTAAAAGTATGGAAGAGATGTGTCAGACTCTGTGGTATCTTTTATCTCAAGCTCCCCAGGATATCGTATCGATATAGGAATGGAAATTACCATTGTTAATTGACAGTACGTCGTCGATATATCTAAGTGTCGAGTTGAAGGCCACAGCAGGTGTTTTCTTCTTAATTTTCACGCATAAGATTTTGCACAAAATTTGCCTCATATGAATATAAAAATAGGTCTGCTAATAATCCATGGGGATTCCAATAGATTGTTGGAAGACCTGGTCTACAAAAACCACAGAGATATTGTTAATCAGAAACCCATGCAAGCATCTTTTTTATGTCATCTTTGGAGTTTTTGTGTGTGCAAGCAAAATGTGTTTTAACAAAATAATTTTGCAAAAAGAAATTACCAATGACCAGGTAAGTAAATTTACGAGTTTCATTTTTATTGAAAAAGCAGCTGTCAATTTCAGAAAGACTGGACTTTAATTTATCGTGGGGAATGGTTGTGTAAAAAGTCGTTAAGTTTTTAAGCTGTTGATTTTGGTAAAATTTTGCGATTCCAAATTGTCCAGAATTTCTTTGGAATATTTGAGTATCCACATCTGATTCATAACACTTCTGGAATATATTGTTGCACAGTACTCTTTAAGTTTCACCTACACTAATGTTAATATCTTAGTGAGGAATAAAGAAAGAGGCCCGGTTGAACATTTACTGGAACAGACTTAGGCAATGTATCTTTGTAAGGATTCATATGAAGTTAGTACATTTTAGTTCTTTGGGATATTAAAAATATTCAAAAGTGACGTATGATTGTGAAAAATTTCTTCCTTAAAAGCCGTGTCACACTGTCACGATTTTTGCTACGATTCCACACGACTGACAAAAAACCATAAATCGCCGACAATCGCCACGCTAGCCTAGCATTTTTTTGACGGAGGGTGATTTTTTTCCAGTGTATCACGATACGACTACGATGTCCGCTCAACAATGTACGAGGCTTATACGACAACAGAACGA